GGGAACAAGCCTTCCCTAGTAAATTAGTTGATTTTTGTCCACTGAGGTCCATGGATTCCCTAGAGCATCAGACACCAGCATATCTGAAAGGACACAGAAACTACCACCACTTTAATAATGAATCTTCCACCTATTCTAGTTTCTAAAATCTATAGTGGTACATACAAGAGTGTGCTTTTGCATGCTTGAAAGAGGTTTTAATAGACAAATGCACTAAGTTTTCAAAGTCTTGAAACCAAAAATCACCATTAGCTGTCACAGTGGATGTAGCCAGTTTTCATCTGAGTAAAAACCCTTCAACCACGGTATAGAGATGAAATGGCTCAACACCTTCTCACTTTTTCTGTTTTCATCGCAATTTCTTTATGGCAATGAATGTTGTTGTTTGCCTCTCTTACTTTTCTGACTATGCAGGTTCAAAGTCATACAGGAATGCCCATAACCTTTAGAGAAGCCTTCATTCATAGTAACAACTCATCCAAATTGCAGTTATATAACATGTTCAACCTGGTCAAATGGAAGCCATTGGAACTCACATCCAACACAGGAGTGTCATGGTCCAGTTTTTAAAGTTATTAGAAATGCCTCTGCCTGAATTAACATGCAAATGAGCCCATATACCAGCATCAATAGTATAAGTTTTATTTAGTAGTAAATATGAGAGAGAAAAAGAAAAGGAGAAGTAAAAGGGAGAGAGAGAAATAGAAGAGAGGCTGGGAAAACAGAAAGAGAGTGACAGAGACAGATTAAAGGAAATATCACCACTCCATGGATCCCACTGGCTTCCCGATGATCCTCTCCAGGTGGTCTCCTTGGTGCTGAGGGTCCCCCGAAAAGCATAGACTCTAATGGGTTAATATATGCTCAGGACAGATGGAAATGCCCAGGTGCCTCCCCTGAAGGGGGTGGGGGGGAGGTGCAGTTTGACACTGTCCTGCAGCAGACTCTCGGTTATATCACCTTGCCTCATGAGCAGTGCTGTGGTGCAAGGCCTCAGGAATGAGTCTGGGGAGTACTTGGCAGGGGGTCTTTGACGATTATCACACCCCATCAGCTGCCTCCCATGTGAATGTTCCATCGATGTGGCCTTCCCAGGGTTGGGCCTTCACAGCTGTGCCGGTTTCTGTGAGGGAGGACGGGTGTTCAGTGCCTCTGACCAGAGGTTACACCACACACTTGAAACCTCCTCCCCCACATCGCTTCAGGGGGAGACTGTGTAAATCTGGCCTCTGTTTGCCGTGGTCTCCCACACCTCAAACCCAGACAAGGGAGGGTTTTCTGCTGTGTTTCACTTTCTTGTGGATGCATTCCTTTCCCTCTGCCTTGTTTATTTGTCCCTAGACCTGAGATGATTGAACAATAGTGTCCCCTTTATCTTATCTATGTGACTTCCCTCACAGTCCAAAGTTCTAGTCAGGCATTTTCAAGGAGGTGCGGGCTTCTGTGGTTGTAGCTTCTTTATACAGTTTTTTCTATAAAGGGCAACACTCCTTCATAACAATGTTTAAGGCGGAACCATTTCAGTCTCTGACAGAAACACAAAGATAAGCTATTGTCTTGTTGCCTGTAGGGCAATGTCCTGGCCCCTGGGAGAGGGGAAACAAGGTTCTACTTTCAGATTCCTTCTGATGAATTAACTAGATCAGATAAAAGAAAACCATGAAACTGTTGTTTCTTACCTTGGCCTTATAAAATTTCACTCATGTATTTTTTTAACACTTTCCATGTATTAAAATAGCGTGTCCTTGCATGTTTCAATTGCAGGTCTATTCTATTCTATTCTATTCTATTCTATTCTATTCTATTCTATTCTATTCTATTCTATTCTATTCTATTCTATTCTATTCTATTTATATTACATTACATTACATTACATTATATTTTATTTTATTTTATAATTGCTTTACTTTGGAAAATTAGGTACTCCATTTGAAGGTCATAAAACCTTGATTGTAGTTGATACATCAGGCCAGCATGATGTATCATGTAACTTTTGAAACATCAGTTGATCTTACTATATGTACGCATTTTGTTTTGAGTTCTGTCTCTGAATGACAAGAATTTTCCTGCAGCAAGTTCAGCAATGTGATAAATAATCTTTGAAATCCAGGTTGAATCCTAGAATACACTCACAGAATATGCTGACTTGGCAGAGTCCCACCACAATCATTGAGTCAAGTTCCTGGACCTCCACAGGACGCCCCAAGAATCACACCATGGGCCTGAGAGCATTGTCCAAACACTTACTGAATCCATCAGACTTGGTGATGTGACCATTTCCCTGGGCAGTCTGTTCCATTGCCTAGTTATCCTATGGGTCAAAAACCTTTTCCTGATACCCAACCTAAACTTCCACTGACTTAACTTCAGGCCATTTATTCAAGCTTTGTCACTGGTCACCACAGAGAAGAGATCAGTGTCTGCCCCTCCTCTTCCCTCACACAGAAGTTGTAAGCTGCAATGAGGTGTCTCCTCAGTCTCCTCCAGGCTGAACAGTCTAACTGACCTCAGCTACTCCTCATATAGCTTCCTCTCTAGACCCTTCATCATCCTTGTGGCCCTCCTTTGGCTGCTCCCTAATAGCTTAATGTCTTTCTTATATTGTGGTGTCCAAAACTGCCCCCAGCACTTTAAGCCACCCCATTGCAGAGCAGAGCAGGACAATCCCCTCCCTCGCCTGGCTGGCGATGCACCCCAGGATATAGTTGGCTGTTCTGGCTGCCAGGGTACACTGAACTTTCCCATTTCAATTTTAAAACAAACAAACAAACAAATCTCAAAACAAGACACCTAACAAATCAAACCAAACTCCAAGCAGTTATGTTTGCTTTTTTCTTTCTTAACCAAGGAGCACCAATTTTCTTCAAAACTGTACTATTAGAAGCAAGGGACTTCTTAGAAAATTGGGAAAGCTGGACAGGACAAACACAGATCATGCCAATATGGTTAATCATATGTTCTCCTTTTATTGTTTATAAGATGTCAGTTTATATACACTTCAATATTGTTTACAATTGTGAGCACACTCTCATTGGCATGCAAACATTGCTTGTTTTTGTAATAAGGTGGTTAAAGTTTCACACTGCAGACCTATACTAATTCACACCCAGAAAGACCATTGCTCTGTGTTCACCTTAACATAATTTCTAACTGTGCCACAGACTAATTTCTTACTGCGTCATAGACTTCAAAGGCCTCGCCATAGCCCATATCTGAGGCCTAGACTGGGGTAGCTCAACCTTCACTCTAAATATAAATTGTGTCCTCTCTCTCTCAGAAATTCTGCTACAACCATCTTTTAAAATTCCTTGGCTCTTTGACCATTTCAGGCTTCTAAACCATATGGATATTGTTCTCTCACATGTCTGGGTGGCCTAGATAAGTTTGGGATCTTTTTTGGCAGATATACTTGTGTGCTGAATCTTTGCCTGTGTCTTGATACATTAAATAAATTGGTAAGCTTATTGCCTCTTTGCAGTGGATTTCCTTTGCACTGGACTTGTTTTGCTTTGCCAGCTGTATCATAGAAAACCAACTTCATCTTCACATAGGTCTTTTTCAATTGTGGAAAAGTTGGAGTCAATTCTCAGAGGAGTAAAATGTGCTTTTCCTGATGCAGTTCCTACTAACTAGGTCAGGCAATGAAAATTACAGTCAAGACAAGATTCTTTGCATGCTGGAACAAGTGTGGCTTCATGTATGGTTTTTTTCTGTTCTGGTAGCAAAAGCTTGTCTCTAACCCTCTGACAGGGAAGAAACTGCCACTGGAAACTGGAGCTTAAGGAATGGTGTCTAGGGGAGCAGACTCAGATATGGAAGAAACAGATGAAGTCTTGTGTTTTCTTTTACTTCAGGCCCAACACCTGATAGCCACACAAGGGACCCCAAAGTTGAAGAACACCTTGCTACATTACTCTTTCTTGTATGGCTTTCTGAACTGCTGCTTGGACGCAGCCTAGGTCAGGCAAGGGTTTGCTAAGGAGCTTCTGCAGGTAAATTGTGGAGCAGACACAGTTGTCTGGTCTAAGGGTATGTTCCTCAGCTACACTCCAAGACATTAGGTGGCCTCCCCTCAGACTGATGCTCTGTCTTGGTGCTTTTCCAATGAAAACAAAGTGGGATCTTAAACTGGTTTGTGTTGGAAGGGAACTGTGAAGGTCATCTAGTCCAACCTGACTGCCATATGCTAGGACCTCTTCAAGTAGATAAGGTTGCTTAGAGCCCATTCAACCTAACCTTGGGATGGGGCACCTAGCAGCTCTCTGGGCAGTCTATACTGCCATTCCCCTCCTCATAAACAATTTCTTCCTTAGACCCAATCTGAATTGACTGTCTTCTAGTTTAAAACTATTTCCCCTGTTTGTACTGCAACAGACCCTGCTAAAAGCTGTCTCCCCATTTTTCTTAGAAGCCCCCATGATGTCTTGAAGTGTGGGAAAAAACTCTCCCCAGGGCCTGCTCTTCTGCAGGCTGAACAAGCTTTCTTGGCCTTTTCTCAGATGAGAGCTGCGCCATCCTCAGATCTTTTCTGCATTCCTGTCTTGTGCTTTGAGAATCCATTCAGTTTTACCTGGTTGTAAAAATACTGAAGTAGAATGATGTTGAGCAGGAGGCCTGAAATGGTGATGGAGTGTTTTGGGGTGGCTTTCTCTCCCTGTGATGGTCTGCTCTATGCCCAGAAATGATTGCTGTAGATTTAAGTTGGGCCCAGGGCTAGGGGGAACCGTGGAGCTCTTGCACAAGCCTTTTCAAAGCCTCACTCCCCAGGCATCCATGTTGCTGGTGGACTGGGCTCTCTTTGTTGCTTAGCTAGCTTAGTTTTTTGTTAACTTAGGCAAAATAATTTTTTTCCCTTTCCCTGGCCTTGGAGTCTGTGACAACAATCCTTTGTCAGCCTTTGTTTTTTTCCTGACTGTTCGGTTTGGTCCAAGGCCAAAAAAGACTATCAATGAGATAAGCAGCGGACTGGTGGGGAGCCAAGCAGCCACTCCATCCTGGCCCCAGACCTTGGAAAAGCCAACTCAGTGAAAGCAAGGACCCTAAACCCACCAGCTTCATCTGCTGTGAAGACGAGACCAACAAAAGAGATTCACCAGGCTTCCCATCTGATTTTTTCCTGAACTGGTGCGTGAAATTTTTGGTTATTTTTCTTCCCTGAGACAAAGGTTGTCACCATTTATTTCCCCCTCCTCCCTGCAATGTGGTTGGCTGTTGGTTTTTTTCTTTCCCTGGTATTTTGGAGTGGCTTTTTTTTATGTTTCAGTGTGGATGTGTGTACACTTGGGGGAAGAAGGTTGGGGGGCAGGGGAGGTAAGGTTCTGACAATTCAATATCCAGCATTTGTTCATTTTTTTCCCCTGTGCCATGTTGGCATTCTGTCAATAAACGGTTGGGTTTTTTTCACTTTCATCCACTAGAATTCACTTTCTCATTGGCAGGGAGGGATTGTTGGAGCCCCATTTTTTGTTAGAGGAACATTAATTCCAGAATGTTCTTCTTCTAAACTTCTCCTAAACTATACATGAAGTGATATGGGAAACATGTATGTTTATGAAAATTCAGAATTTTAGAAGCATAATGTACTTAGATGGGTGGAGTGAAACAGAAATATATAGCTTATTTACCAAGTTTACAGAAGTACAGTACACAGCTTGTAACAGAATGTAACTTGTTAGGTAGAAACAGTTTGTAACAGAACACGTAGGAATTTAGTTGCTAGGTAAAAGCCATAAAAATAATATGTATATTTTCTAAGCTCAGTAAAGCAAGACTTAGGTATTGTTAAAACCCATAAAGCAGAACCCAAACCAGCAAGAACCAGGCTCCTGGTTTTGGCCAGAACAAACTGACTTGGGAGTTAGCCAAACCCCTGCTGTGCTTGCCCAAACACAAGGTCAAGTAGCAAATACCTGAGGAAGACCTCTTATTCCATCAGAAGACCCCTGCCCACAACCCCCCAGGAAGCGTGGCACTACAGAAAACTAATTATAAGATGAAGTACAAGGAGGCTGAGAATGAACAGAGAATGGGCGGGGCAGGGAGGTGTGAGCTTGGGGGATCAATATGTATTTAAACCTGAAACCTGTCTTGACTAGGTACACATGTATGGTGGAAATGCCCCTCATGCCTCCCACCTGGAATAAAACATACCTGCTTTACAACTTTATTTGTAAAGTCCTTATTCTGCAATACAGAGGAAGGCCCCTGAAACTAGTCCCAGTCAAGTGGTCAGAAAATTGGCTGTGGGAAGAAAGGAGCTATGAAAGATTCACTGTGAACTTCAGAGGGCATGCAACTTATCTCTTCTGTCCATCCCTCTCTTAAAGGTTTCTGCCACCAAGCCCTGATTGTAGAAGTTACTAACACTAAAGCAGGGACAGCTGAGTGGGACATTCTCGCTAGCCATTCTGGTGCAGGATGAGGCTTCCTCTGGCCATCAGAGATGCAATTAAAAGAAGGCTCTAGGGAGTACAGCCAATAGGAGCAGGCAAACAGGGGCATGGCATGGCTCTACAGGCATGGCACAGCAATTTGCACAGCAGTTCGTGCAGGCAAGGCAAGCAGGCAGAAAGGCAGGCATCCTCCTGCTAATGGTGTTTTAATTTTATTTAGCTTGATTTGCTTTGGTGGTTTTTGTTTGTTTAATTGTTTGTTTTGTTTTGGTTTTGTTGTTGTTTTTTTCTTCAGCAATGGTCTCCAAATGACCAAAAGCTAGTAAAAGTGACCAAGACAAACAGAACGCTCCAAGAAGGACACGTCTATCCAGACCCCTTACTGTACAGTGTGTTTGAGCCTGCCAGCAGTACCAGGGAATGGTGCAAAAGATGTGTGCCTGCAGTGCGAGTAGGTGAATGATCTCTGTCTGGTGGCTGACCTTAAGGAGGAAATAGAAAGACTAATGGGTATTAGGGATAGTGAAAGGGAAATAGACTGGTGGAGTTTCACCCTTCCATCTTCCATCATCCATGAGAGAAGCCCACAAGGTGTCAGAAGACTCCCATGTCTCCTACCATCAGGCAGTAGGAAGAGACCTAGTTAATGAAGGGGAGTTGAAATGGGTCTCTCTTTGGGGAGGTAATGAAAATTCCACATCACCTACCCAGATGCCACTTCAAAATAAATATAAGGCCCTGAATCCAGAGTGTCAGACAGATAACACTGAAGAAAATAATCTGCCTGGAGAACCTCCCAGTTATACTTCATTTGTCAGATGGATCACTGCTAGAAAGAAGATAAGAGTAGTTGTAGTACGTCATTCCCTTTTGAGGGGAACATAGGGCCCTGTATGTCAATTGAACCCATCCCCCAGGGAGGTCTGCTGCCTCCTTGGGGCCTGGGTAATACATGTCACCCGGAGACTCCCTGGGCTGATTCAACCCTCTGATTATTACCCACTGCTAATAGACCAGGCTGGCAATGATGGGATTGAAAAGAGTACCAGGGCAATTAAAAGGGACTTCAGGGCTCTGGGTCAAGTGGTTGAGGGGGCAGGAGCACGGGTGGTGCTCTGCTCAATCCCTTCAATGACAGAGACATATGATGGAAGGAGAACCCACATTATGAGCAGGTGACTTAAAGGCTGGTGTCATTTGCAGAATTTTGGGTTCTTTGATCATGGGGCAACTTTCAGGGCAAGTGGCCTGCTAGAGCTAGATGGGCTTCATCTGTCTGTTAGGGTCAAGGGGATTCTAGCTCATGGACTGGCAAAACTCATTGAGAGGATTTTAAACTAATTCACAGGGGGAAGGGGATGCAACTAGGCTCTCCAGAAACAAGGCCAAGGGGGGAAGCCAGCAGCTCAGCTGAAGTGCATGCACACTAATGCACACAGCATAGGTAGCAAACCAGAGGAGCTGGAAGCCATGGTACAGCATGATGTAGTTGTCATCACCGAAACATGGTCAGACAACACACATAACTGGAGTGCTGCAATGGATGGCTACAAGCTCCTGCAGCACAGAAACAGGAGAGAGAGGAGAGGTGGAGAGATTACTCTTTATAATATAAGGAGGTTCTTGATGCCATGGAGATTGAAACTAACAATTATAAAGTGCCTACTGGTAAGAATCAGGGGGAAGGCTAATAAGACTAACATCCTGGTGGAAGCCTGTTATAGACCATCCAGCGAGGAAGAAGAGGTGGATAACTGTTGTGTTGCATCAAGTGGTTTGTTCCGTATCTCCCTCTCTTGCCCCGCTCCCAGAGCCTTCTGGTGGGGATCTTAGCTTGGGTTACTTCCTCCTGTTGCCCCTCCCATCAGTTGTGCCTCCACCCCCTTCCCCTGGGTTTAAAATCTCCTGCCATCCAGCATTCACTCTCTGGTCCCTTTGGGACGTCGCCTTCTTTCCCAGGTGGCTCCTATCCAGAATAAACTGGGACTCTGGTCCTGAGAGGAAAGAGTGCATCCTGTCTTTTACTTTTGTCCTTGTGAGACTGAGGGGGCTGGGGGCCAGAGCTAGCTGGATCAGACCCCTAAGGCCCTGGGATGAATCTTACAGATAACTTACTCTACAAACAGCTGGAGGATGTTTCAAGATCACGAGCCCTTGTTCCTATAGGTGACTTTAACCTACCAGACATCTGCTGGGAACTCAACACAGCAGAGAAGAGACTGTCTAGGAGGTTCTTAGAGTGTGTGGAGGACAACTTTTTGTCACAGCTGGGTGAGTTGAGCCTACAGGGGAGGGACTACATTAGACCTGCTGTTTGAAAACAGAGATGGGCTGGTAGGAGAAGTGGTAGTTGGGAGGCTGTCTGGGGGCACAGTGATCATGAAATTACAGAGTTTTCAATATTTGGTGAAACAAGGAGGAGCATCAATAAAATTGACAAATGGGACGTCTGGAGGGCAGACTTTGGCCTATTCAAGAGACTTATTCAGAGTGTTCCTTGCAAAGCAGCCCTTAAGAACAAGGAGTCCAGGAAGGATGAGTGTGCTTCAAAACAGAAATCTTGAAGGCACAGGAACAAATGGTCACTATGTGCCAAAAAGATGAGTTGATGAGGAAAATCACCAACCTGGATGGGCAAGGAGCTCTTGAAGGAGTTAAGGAAAGAAAAGAAGCTATATCACCTTTGGAAGGAGGGTATCTCAGTAAATATTGTTAAATTGCTAGGGCATGTAGAAGAAAAATTCAGACGGGCAAAAGCCCAGTTGGAACTGGCAACTTCTGTGGACAATAAAAATATTTTTATAAATATATTAATGGCAAAGGAAGAGTAAGGACAATCTCCATTCTCTATTAGACACGGGAGGGAATTAGATGAGGAAAAAGCAGAGGTACTGAACACCTTCTTTGCCTCAGTTTTCAACAGAAAGACAGGCTGTCCTCAGGACAACTGTCCTCCTGGCTGGTAAATGGTGTCAGGGAGCAGAATAGCCCTCCTGTTACCCAGAAGGAAGCAGTCAGAGACTACTGAGCCACTTACATCCTCATAAATCTATAGGACAATGAGATGGGATCAATCCTAAGGTGATGAGGGAGCTGAAAGATGAGCTTGCAAAGCCACTCTCCATCATCTACCATCAGTTCCGGCTCACTGAGGAGGTCCCAGATGACTGGAAGCTGGCCAGTGTGATGTGCATCCACAAGAAGGGCCAGAAGGAGGATTCAGGAAACAACAGGCCAGTGAGCCTGACCTCACTACCTGGCAACGTTATGAAACAGATCATCTTAAGTGCCATCACATGGCACCTACATGGTTTGTGAGGGTATCAGATCCAGCCAGCATGGGTTTAGGGGGAGTAGGTTGTGCTTGATGAACCTGATTTCCTTTTATGACTAGGTGATCCACCTGGTGGATGCAAGAAAGGCTGCAGATGTTATCTATATGGAATTCAGCGAAGCTTTTGACACTGTTTCCCACAGTATACATCTGGAAAAAATGGCAGCCCACAGCTTGGAAAGGTGCAAACTTTCCTGGGTTAAGAACTGACCGGCTCAAAGTGGTGGTGAATGGTGCTGCATCTAGTTGGTGGCCAGTCACTGGTGGGGGTCCACCAGGGTCAGTGCTGGGGCCAGTCCTGTTTAATATCTTCACTGATGATGTGGATGAAGGGATTGAATTTATTGATTCCATCGATAAATTTGCTGGTGACACCAAGCTGTGAGCATGTGTCAATC